GAGGGAGCAGGTTCTCTACAAGGCCTGTATTACTGACTGGAGTGAGCTAGCCCAGGAGGAGGGTGTCATCTGCTGTAGCCCAAAAAGAATGGGGAAGATTTCATCTGCAACGTAGCACACCCAAAACCAACAGACATTAAAGGTTTTCTGTAGAGCTACTGCTTCTCCAACCCTCTATCCAGCAAGGATAGTTGCTTAATTCTAAGCTGGGCTATTTTGTCATGCTGTATCCCATGTGCTCTTTTGATACATCACCCTGCAGTATCTGATGCCTGCTTTGGAGGCTTTACCCTCTCAATCTTGAATTGCTGAAGAGAGATGACAGTTCTGAGACCACCAGCTGCCTGAATCTGAGTGCAGCTTTCTGTGTTGCTTCACTTAATTGTGGATTTGTTTCCATTTTTTGGATAGCCCTAGGAGAAGTGTTACTCAGCTGGTAGATGTGTGTGTCTGATGTTCTCTAATGTCTTCCTGCCTGTGCCATTTATAGGTTATTAAAGCCATTGAAGAAGGGTATCGGCTGCCACCCCCGATGGACTGCCCCATTGCTCTCCATCAGCTGATGTTAGACTGCTGGCAGAAGGAACGCAGTGACAGGCCAAAATTTGGACAGATTGTCAACATGCTGGACAAACTCATCCGCAACCCTAACAGCCTGAAGAGGACAGGCAGTGAGAGCTCCAGGTCAGCTGTGCTTTTGTAATGTGATGGACGAGGGAGCTCAGTGGAGGTGACAGGCTCTTTGCACGTCACCTAAAGCTCCTGCACACTGAGGCGTGCTCAGGAGCTCTGGAGGGACACAAAATCATAGAATCACAGAATCATTTGGGTTGGAAGAGACCTTTAAGACCATGGAGTCCAACCAACACTGGCCCAAACACTGCCAGGTCCTCACTAACCCATGTCCCTCAGCACTATGTCTCCATGGCTTGGAAACCCCTCCAGGGATGGGGAATCCACCACTGCCCTGGGCAGCCTGGGACAGGCCTGGGACAGTGCTTTTGGGGAAGAAATTGTTCCTCAAGTCCAACCTCAACACCCCCTGATGTTGCACTGTGTGAGAGAGCAGCGGGGCTGTGCTGGCTCAGGCTCTCCTGGCTCTGTCAGGAGGCAAATGGAACGAGCAGAGCTGCTCCTGTGTCATACCCACACTGTCCAGGCTTAGAGAACGGTCTTAAATACATCCTGAAAAGTTTCTGAAGCAGGCGAGCTCTGTTTGAAGTCCAGGTTTGCTGCATCTTTTTTCCCCCTGCTGCCCCTAGTGAGAGGGTTTGAACTGGCGCAGCGCAGCTAGCAGGAGTGAGGTGGTTTTCTGCAGGAAAAACACATCATCAGGTTTTTCCAAACCCCAGCTTTGGGTAGGACTTGCAAATGAGCATTAGGGCATTAGAGCCAACGCCTTGCGGGCACCAGGCAGGCGCGGATTAATTTTTATGTGAATTTGAATTTAATTTTGTGGAAAGCCAGTTTCATGTCTCCACCGATCCCGCGTTACGCCGGTGTTTTGTTTTGTTTGCTGAGCACGGTGTACCTGCGACGAGCAAGAGGAGCACAGGAGGAAGGAAACACCCACAGATGTAGGGTAAAACCAAACTGTCTTCACTGGGACAGATCAGCAGTTTGTTTAAGCTGGTGAAACGCTGCTGAAGTAACAGGAGCTTTTCTAATTTACACTAGGTTTCTTCTGGTATTTTTTTTTTGTCAAATGTCTCTGCTTTGCCAGGTAGATTTGCTCACAGCCAATATGTAAAGAAGCTTAAAAAAAAAAAAAAAAAAAAAGATGATAAGGGGAGAATATTTTTCAGTAAAAGGGAAGGTACAAAAATATCCTCTGGGCAATACAAAATTAAGGTTTTTGAATCAGTGGAGGAATAACAGAGATTCTGTTTCAGCCTCCAACAGAGCGACATCCTGGAAATAGCTATTTCCATTTTTAAACTTGTAGGTCCCTTTGTGACTCTTGCTTACAATGCACATTATCAGAAGAAGGATTATTAACCCTGTGAGGCCTCTGTCACCACAGATCTTCCCTGTTGCCCTGATCTCATTGGTAGCCTGGCAAAAATGTAAGCCTCAAGGGTAGATGTATGATTTACACGATGAGAATCACAGTATGATCTGCTGTGATAATTTGATTTGAGCATCACGGTATGAACTCCTCCGTTTTGCTTTCTTTCCAATTCACAGGTGATCTTTGAAAATAGATAGATTTTCCAAAAGTTAATAGCCTGTCCAAGGTCATGTTGGGTGTGTTTAAGTCGATAGTCTGTTCAAGGTCAGCTCATGTTCATGGCTATTTATAGAACTTTATTTTTCTTATATTCAGGATCTGAATTTCAAACATACATATAACATTATTAATATATTACATGAGTTTATAGGTGAAGCATAATTGTGTATAATTAGGCTGCCATCGTTGGTCTTGCATTAGATAGGAGAGTAAAAGAGTTGTAGCAAGTATTAGCAGCACGTCCTCCATGCCTTAGGCAAAACATAGCGATGCTGTTGCACACCTCACCTGTGATGCCGTGCCATTTCAAATAAATGGCTAAATGTTAATTGTTTTGCTTAGATAGACAGTAATTTATAGTGGTTTAATGAAACCGTGAGTTACAATGTGCACCAAATAATAACTGAGATACTAATAAGAGGAGCAAGTTTTGTGAAAAAGATCGTTTGGCAACCTGTGGAAGGGAGAACGAGAAGCACACGCCAGTGAGGAATGGATGGATGGATGGATTAAAGAGGGGATTAACTCCCCACCATCCTAGCTTGGACTGGATGTGCTGAGCTTGCCTGCAAACCTGCCTAGAAACAGGATTTATCTGCACCCGCCCTGAGCTTTCCCTCCAAACCAGTCAGGCAGGTTGTGAGCTCCTGGCTCCTTGGCTCTTCTGTAGCTGAGGTCTGACACATGCAGGCTTGGCAAGGTCCTGCCTTGCCCCAGGGTCCCGAGCCGGTGCACTCAGCACCGTGCAGCATCGCTGTCCCCTTTGGTTGGGGCAGCAAAAGCAGTTGCTGGGAGCTCGGTGGCATCCGAGGTGGAAATTGTAAGTGGTGTTGTGGTTCAAATTGGATCTGAAAGCAGAAAGAGACCGAAGGTCAGAGTCATTCTTAGCAAAACCTGGCCCATTCCCGTGCGTTTTGGTGTCTCGCACCGATCCCTGACGCTGTTCAGAGCCACCAGTCTGGCTGGGAGCAGCATCTTGCTCCAGCCTTCTTCCCTCATCACTGAGGGTGATGGTTGCTGCTCCCGAGCTCTGGTTTGCGCTTCCTGATCCAGCTGACGCCATTTCTCTGTCCTCTCCCTGTTTGGCATCCAGACCCAGCACAGCCCTGCTGGACCCCAGCTCCCCGGAGTTCTCGGCGGTCGTTTCTGTCGGCGACTAAAGCCATTAAAATGGAGCGCTACAAGGATAACTTCACAGCTGCTGGCTATACCACCCTAGAGGCTGTGGTGCATATGAACCAGGAGTAAGTACTCAGCGATGTAACAAAAAAACTGGTAAATCTGGATTTAATCGGCCTCTTTTGATTTGTGCTGCATATCATTACGCTCATTAAAGGATTGGAATGCCTTTCATTTGGACGGGGGATAGCTTTAAAATGCCTCCGCGATGCCTCCACTTATTTAATTAAACATTTCTGTACATCTGCCTTGCTTTCCTTTGCGGTGGGCTCTCGAGGCCTGTCTCTGCACCGGCGTCTGGTTCTCAGCCCCCTGCTTCTCCTCTTGCTTTTCCACAGTGACCTGGCGAGGATCGGCATCGCCACCGTCGCCCACCAGAACAAGATCCTGAGCAGCGTGCAAGCCATGCGCACCCAAATGCAACAGATGCACGGCAGGATGGTGCCCGTCTGAGCCAGTACTGGAAAAAAAACAAACTCAAAACTCTTGAAATTAGTTTACCTCATCCATGCACTTTAATTGAAGAACTGCACTTTTTTTACTTCGTCTCCTCGCCCGTCGAAATCGAGATCTGCAGCATTGCTTGATGTACAGATTGTGGAAAGGGAGCGTGTGTGTTGGGAGGGGGGCCTCCAGAAACGACAAGCCGTCGTTCTAAACCAGACCTGGAACAAATTGTTTCTTGGAACACACTTCTCTGGTGATCGACGACGTGTAAAATACATGTATCTATATAAATATAAAGTCACGTTCAAGTTTTGATGCTATGTTTGCTGCCAGATACTGTGCTTAAAAAACAAAACCAACTTTACTTTCCTTCTCCCTGTGACCCGTAGGATTACAACCGTAGTGTTTTTATTTGTGGGTGAAACCACCGTTGTGCATCTTTCACTGGAATGAAGAATCTGCCCTTGGATGGTTTTTTTTCCAGACTGGACGCATCGCTGATGCCTTGCAGAAACCTCAGTGAGAATATCACGTGGCTAATCAGTGCCTGCCAATTAGTGATCTTCCCATTGACGGGCTTGAGGCATGAAATGACCCATCTCGTGGATTACTGGGCCAAACTGGACTCTTGGGGAGGCTGTTGGCTGGAGGTGTGCCAAGCTGAACCCTACCACTTAAAGACATGTTGTGAACATCTTGCCAGTGGTCAGCTGTGACAATCGTGGCTGTGGAGCTTTTGGACTTCTTTTCTCTTTTGGGAAGCAGTTCCCTTTGCCACGTGGAGAAGGTCAGTGGAGGTACAGCCCCCCAGCGTGTTCGTGGTGCTTTAGTCCTTAAACTGTGCTAGGATTCCATCACTGCTGGGGGAAAACAAAGACCAGTGCTGTGGTACGTATTAGTCGGAGTTCCCAACTGGTTTGTATGAACCTGTGCTGGTTTCCCAGACTAATTGCTCAGTGTTTCCCGCTTGCTCTATTATTTGATGACACTGAGGAGTAGGGATGCCCTTATTTTGGGAGTGGGAAAACCTACACGTATGGATCCAGTGGAAAGTAAGGATAACCATGTAAAGAGCAGATATAAGTGCACCAGGAAGAACCAAGGACCTTTCCTGCCCTCCCACAAACAACAGGAGAACCAGTATTTGTGGTTTAGGAAGATTGGTCCCCGTTGCTCAGGGGGGTTTATGGGGGGGGAGCAGAAGGAGATGGGATTGTGCTTGGAGCCTTCCTGGTTTGGCCTGGTTTGGGTGTTGGTCGTGGGACACAGCAGCGTTCCACTGCCAACACTGTGATCGAGAATCAGCAGCTGTGGAAACCAGCATCACTTCTGAAACCTGCCCATGGGCTGGGTTGTCACGGTAGCCAGGTAGGCTGCCTGGTGAAGGTCTAAGCACCCCTCTGCAAGTGCAGCAGATGAGGTGGAGCGTGACCTGCCTGAGAAGCTGCTCTCCAACTGCTCTAGGAAATAGATGGAAAGTTGAGCAAGTAAAAGCATCCCTGGTTTGTGAGGTGGAGGAGACTGCTACAGCAATGTGGTTGTCCTCACTGGGTCACACAGGATAAAGCTTTATCTGGTAAAGCTCAGAACATGTGTAGGCTTGAAGAAGGACACTGGATGCTGGAATGTGTCCAGAGAAGACCAGTGAAGCTCGTGAAGGGTCTAGAGCACAGGTTAGGTGAGGAGCAGCTGAGGGACCTGGGGGTGTGGAGCCTGGAGCAAAGGAGGCTCAGGGGAGACCTTCTGGCTCTCCACAACTCCATTAAAGGAGGCTGGAGCCAAGTGGGAGTCGGGCTCTTCTCCCAAGGAGCAACAGGATAAGAGGAAATGGCCTCAACCTGTGCCAGGGGAAGTTTAAATGGGACATTAGGAAAAATGTCTGCCCCAAAAAGTTTGTCAAGCCCTGGCCCAGCTGCCCAGGGCACTGGTGGAGTCCCCATCCCTAGAGGGGTTTCAAAGTCGTGGAGATGTGGTGCTAAGGCACATGGTTGGGTGGTGGCCTGGCAGTGAGGGGTTAATGGTTGGACTCAATGATCTTGTAGATCTCTTCCAACCAAAACAATTCTATGATACTAAAGATTTACTACTCTTTTTGAACAGAGAGTATAAATCAGATTCCTTTTAAAGTCTTTTTGAGGACCAAACTGATGAGGTGACCTCAGAAGAGACAGCACGGGGCCCACTTACTCTGTGCTGGGTGGGAGGAGGGTTTTCATGACACATCCTCTGGAGCAGACGTTGTGTTTGGCTCTGCCCAGCACCGTGTCAGAATGGTGACATTTACATTTGGATGGGGCTGAGGCTGGTTCTTCGGTCTGTAACATCTTGGTGCCACTCCACACCTGACAGCAAGCCCAGAAATGCTTTAACAGCTTTCTATGTCCATGGTTGCATTTATCCTCAAGCCAAAACAGCTCACTCAGTAGGACAAGTCACACTTACTGTGTCGTCACTCACCTCACTTTGTGTCACTTTTAACAATAACTTGCTGATTTTAACCACTGACTCTCCCTCACCCCTAACTTTCACAGGAAACATGTTCAGGGTTTGGGATGCTAAATTTGGTTCCTGTCAAGTCATGACAGCTTAGTAAAAACCATTCTATAGTATTACTTATAAAAGCTTTTCCATTTCAAGAAATTCAAGGTTTCTTTTGAAAAACTACTTAAACCAGCAGGTTTTGATGGCATTGTGCCAGGCAGTGTAAGAAGTGGTGACTCATTTTAATGACCTGACACTTCTACTTCCAGCAGCAAAAAACCTTTTGCTTCTTAAGTGCAGAGGTAGAAGTCTCCTCTTGCTGTAAATCTTCTGCCATCATCTTTTTAAGTAAAAACAAAATACACCAAATTTTATGGCCAGTTTGCAGAATTGCTTTCTTTGAGTCTAGGAATGGTAATTCAAGATGCTCCAATATTTTCCAGGCAACATGGAAACCTGTATCCTTGTAGAATGAGAACTGTGAGGGCAGCTCTGACTCTGGGTGTTCAGAACTGCCCTTGGTGGCTGTGGTCCCTGTGACAGAACGTGGCCAGTGAGGGGGCAGCTGCTGGGAAGAAGTGTGTGGCATGTATAAATCATAGAATCGTTTGGAATGAAAGAGACCTCTAAGGTCATCAAGTCCAACTGTTCCCCCAGCACTGCCAGGTCACCACTAACCCATGTCCCTCAGCACCACATCTCCACGGCTTGGAAACCCCTCCAGGGATGGGGACTCCACCACTGCCCTGGGCAGCCTGGCACAGCCCTGGACAAACCTTTGGGAGAAGTTTTTACTAATGTCCTACCTAAAACTCCCCTGGAGCAACTTGAGGCCATTTCCTCTTGTCCTGTCTTCTGTTCCTTGGAAGGAGAGACCAACCTCCACCTGGCTCCAGCCTCCTTTCAAGGGAATTGTGGAGAGCCAGAAGGTGTCCCCTGAGCCTCCTTTGCTCCAGGCTCAGCACCCCCAGGTCCCTCAATATACATACAGAGGTTATGTGTCTGCTTATAAAACAGAAACAAGACTTTGAGATAATGTGAGGGAAAGAAAATTGAGAAAATGGACAAGGAAGGTGATGGGTTCTTGCCTTGAGAGCTGCTGGTTGTGTTTGCCTCACTGGTCCAAACCAGCTCTCATGGCTTTAGGAAATCCTTCCCTCGTCTCTGGAGAGAGGTTTCATTCCATGAACCTGCTGCTGTGTCACCTCCACACCAGGGCAGAGATGACTTCAGGTCTTTTCCCTTGATGTGAAGCATCAGCTGCACCAGCCAAGGAGGGGGTGGCTGCACCCAGCGGTGCCGCTGTGGGGATGCCTGGGAGGAGCCGCTGGGGCAGGTCCACGTGCCTCTCTTGCTGCATGCTGTTTAACATATTTGTGTTTTCCTTCTGTGCAGGGAAACTAGATTTTGCTCTCCCGGCCTCACAGCCCAACCTATTGATCATATTGACCATGGAGGAACGTAGAGCAGACGTGAAGCCTTCTGGATCCACGGTTGCGTCTTCCGTAGCACTGATTCTGGGAGCCACAGGCCGAACAGGCACCGGGCCCTGAGGAGAGCGTGGCTTTTACTTTTGCTCTTTTTTGTGTGTGTTCCTTGCCACCCACTCTGTTTTTTTCCTTCATTGAGAGATCACTGACTCGTGGGGACTCAGCACCCAGTTGTCACTTGAGGAATGTACTGTGTCAACGCCCCGCAGACTTCTGGCTTGGGTTTTTGCCTCCCGTTCTGCTTTCTTTTCCTACCTTTGGGGTTTATTTATGTATTTTGTTCTGTCCTTCCCTCACCCCCGGGCTGCCACGGCTGCATCTTGGCCAGATGCAGGTGACAGAGGGCTCCACATCTTGCCACGGACACCGGGCCGGGCGCCACAGCTCAGAACCCGCTTCCCCGAGTGGCCGATGGACGCTGTCAGGTGACACTGCAACACAAAATCTGCCACTGAGAGAAATGAGATTTTTTTTTTTTTCTGAGAGAAAGAGATTTTGTTTTCTTTTCCTTGAACGGATCATGGATTATTATCTCCCCGGGAAGGTGCGGCCGTGTGCTGTGTGCGTGTGTTTGCGTGCGAGTCACCTCGTGTGTGGAACTGCCTGGGAACGTGCCCAAAACGCCCCTGGAAGTGCAGGGGTCCCTCTCGTGGGAGAGCAGGCCAGCAGCTCGCCTCTGCAGTGGTGGCCAGAGCACACACAGTAAAAAAAGGTGTTGGTTTCTGTATCTACAAGTGTATTCTTTAGCTGCCATGCTAACCCTAACGAGCAGCTCTGCAGCCTGCAGCGGCGCTGTCGAGGTCGTTTTGGAGTTGTGGATTATGGGATCTATAAGGGTGCTAAAAATTTTCCTAAGTGTTGTTTTATTCGTACTTAACGCCCTGGTCACGATCACCACCGGCCAGTTTCTCGATGACAAGGTGATGGAGGCAGCACCTGCATCTCCATCCACTTCTAACCCTGAACTGAATTCTTAAGTAGCCTTTTTTTATTTGAAAAAAAAAAAAAAGAGGATTTTAAGGACTTGTTGAATGCGAACAAATATATGCAATTCTTCCATTCACAGAAGCACCTCGCTCTGTGTGCAAGCTGTGAGTAACGTGTAACGTAATAATCAAAACACTTCATTGGCTCCCAGCACAGTTAAGGAACAAAACCACCATGAGACCTGTAAGGTGACAGTAAGTATGAGCTGTGCCACGTGTCCTGTCCCTCGGGCGGGTGACATGGAGCTGCTGACATGCAGCAGAAGCCACTCTTCCTTCCACGGCCCAAGGAGCAGTGCTGGAACTTACTGGTACTACCTAGAAAAGCTTTCTGTGTTTGGAGAACTCCCCTTTGATGTCACGTAAGCTGGAGCCTGGGGCACCTGTGGCACTGGGTGTTGGGAAAAGGGCTCCAGCAGACCCGGGCAGGCTGGACACACCACCTCCAAAAAGAGCCATGGAGCTTGTGGAAGTGCCACGGGGCTGCTCCCAGCTTCGGCAGGGACCATGCCCAGGACTGCCTCTGCTTGTTAAGAAATTGTCCTGCTCACACACCACTGGTTGATGTTTGTCCGGGTTTCTTGCTGTGCTAATTTCGTGATGGATCTTATGTATTAAAAAAATATATATGTATAAAATACAAAAGGCTGGTAAGGTACCAGTAAATGGACTTAAAAAGCAGTATTTTTCTTTTACGTGACATTTTCATAACCAGAAAAAAAAAAAAGAAGAAAAAAAATCTGAAATACTAATCAGACAAATAAAAAGAGAGTGCATTTATTTTTTTGTATCACTGCAAGTATGTTGGAATATGCAAGGACTG